AGGTCTATGATTCAAGCAACTGCTCAAAAAAAAAATGTTATTAGAATTTAAGCATTTAGGTTCTTGATTTAAAGTGGATGAACAAAGTAGATGGCTGGAAAAATTAAAGGGTAGTAGTTACTTCTTGCACACATGTGTTTCATATAAACAAAGATGGCAACTTTGACTGTTGTGGGGACCAAGGAGTACAGACGATACCAAGCTTTAATTAGGTAATTGTACTCATGATTTAATATGAAGAGCAAATTGGATTGTGGAAAAATTAATGTTTATCAACACAAATGTCGCGCATGCGCGGCGCGACGACACTCTTTAATCAACAATTTTGACCCCTGGCTGGTCTCGTATGCATGAGGGAGAAATGTTGTAATGTCATGCAATATAAGATATTTATTTTTTGGGAAACATTTCCAATAACGCCCTGTGATAAATTGCAGGAATTTAGATTGAGGGAAACTCGAAGCATTCATGATTAAAGTTGAACATTGATTTCTGTAGGGCGTGCTGTACGTTACATGAAAGACCTCTATTGTTGATACAATGATAGTGGGAATTGAACGTTTACCAAATAACATTTGTAAGGATGATAACAATTTCACTCAAATACGTTTGTTAATGTAATATACTCACTTCCTCGTCAAAAGATCTTGCAATATTGGAATATTCACTTTATTTTTGACTATCTGACCAAGCTTTGACGACATCTGAATATCATCGCTTGCTTTCACATCAAGATCAACTTCGCTGGCTATTTTCGCTCCGATTTTCCCTTTGACTGAGAATGACGAAACATCATCGAAATTTGTCAGATCCTCGTTAATAATCGGAACGTCTAGATCTTCTTTGTTTGATAGCAGCTGTGAAAGAGTGTATTGCGAAGGTAGATATTTCGGAGCTCGCCAAAACCATCGTCGATTTTTCTTAACCACAATGGACAGCGGTCGACAGTTGTCTGCTTGATCCAGAGATGGAACTGGTAGCAAGGTGTCTTCACCAAGGGACTTCGACAATTTATCTGTCAGTGACTTAAACATGTCGACGTGTAACTAGCCCAACGTACGTGACGCCCAACTACTAGAAATGCGACCAACCCCTTTTTTTCACAACAACTAGGTTTTACTTCCGTTTTGTTGACAAAAGATGTTTCACTTCCGAGGAGACTCAGTGCGCCCTCAACGACTAATAGCACATTTATATTCCTTTTTATAGTTTTCTGGTCTTCAAGAAAACTAACAAACACATGACAATATTTCAGGAAAAACAAATATAAAACGTGTTTTTACTTGATATTTTGTTAAGTTGAATTTTGTTCTGGGGCTATACAAACATGCTAGAGTGCGAGAAAACAGAAATGGTATACAAAATCTAGAATCTGGAAATAGAAAAAGGTAGAAACACACAACCAAAAACTCTAGTAAAAGACAGGATATGCCAAAGATGTAATGACAATTTAATCAAAGATTTGATTTGTCAGAAATATGAAAAATGTCATCAAAAATGAAAGACAGTAAAAAATCTTTTGACATATTTACTTTCAAGGAGAGACATTACCCCTTGGTAACATTATTTTAAATTATAGATGTACAATAGAGAGGCTCTCGAATTGATATTATTTGTTTATTTATATAAATTCATATAAATAATTTATATAAATCACATTTCCTTAAAATATCACTTTTTGCTATAACCAATGTAAAATTATTTACAAAGATTATTTATAAAGTTATTATGTTCTGAATGTTCATAATGTGCAGAAAATTGCGCTTGTAAATCTGTGCGCATCAGACGCCGTTCAATACTTGCAAATTCAGAAATGGAATCAAACATAGTATTCATATGCAACTTCTACACCGATCTGACGCATATCGCGCAAGGTGTGCCGGGAGTTTGTTCGACATTTCAAACGTTTCGAAGTCAATCGTCGATTGCCACGTATTTTACGGATATATTAAATCGTTTCAGAGACCTGTTTACTAAATAATGATAAATGAAACTTCTAAGAACAAACTGGGCCCAAATTGCGCAAATTGCAATAAGTTTACGCTGTTAGAGTCTGGTTCGGATGGAGTTCAACGCTTGATTTTATTGCGCTTAAAGTGTCTGTGAAATGGCTGCTATTTTCACGCCTAAAATTATCCATTGATACATAAATATTATTAATTTTTATGTTTCTAAGCATAAATAATTTTTTTTAAGTGAAAAAATGTGTACGGAAACTTTTTTTTGTGTATTTTAAAACGAGGCTCCTCATTAGCTTCTCGTTTGCATACAGAAATTCCCCTTGTGACGTCAGAAGGGGAAGTCGCTGGGCAGCTTGCATTGCCGATACGTGTAAATAAGGCAAATTTCTTGTGCTGTTTTCTCGTGTTTGACTAAATTGCCACTTATGTATTTGTTCGTCGAGGAAGAATGGACCATAATGAACACATAGTATCAAGTTTGTTGCATGGGGTTGAGTCAGATGCGAAATATGTCCCAGTCTGGTGTAGCTAGTCACCGTGGTCGTCACCGTCACCGGAGCACGTTTGTACACTGTCGCTGGACTCCGGCATTGGACAAAATCAAATTTGACGGCTGAATGGTCTTGTTATTTAGCAGGTTACTAGACACTATTGATTGATAAAATAGAGAAATAATTAGAAAACGACAAAACACAGTTACTAAATAAATGACTGCCGCGTTGTAATGGTTGAACGCGTCGGGTCATGAGGGGGACAAGTGCGTGAATGGCGGCGTTTACATGTAATTGGATAACAAAAATAATTGAGAGCGACTCACATACAGACAAATTCAAAGTGGATTTAGCGTGATTTTCATGATTATGGCATCATATTAAAGAAATACATTGACAGCTCAAGCCCGGATTCTTATTCCGTAAATTATTACGCCGATCAAGCTGCAAGTAAAGGCAACAAAGATGTGAATTCGACATTCAACACCAATAACCGAACAATTCAGACACTTTTAGCCTGCGAAAATGAAAACATCCGGAGGGCTGCGTAATTTCCCGTTTGTCCGACGCTTCGTTTTCGCGTCATTATCAAAATTACTGCTACCTTTTACATAACACGGGTGGTCTCTATAAAGTGATACTAGTAATCAGGATCGCAAAAAAAAAAATCAAATCATTTGAAACACATACTCGACGTCTCTCTCCCTTTTGAAATCCGTCTCAGTGATCATGGGCTAGTCCGGAATCTATTTTTTCGAAAACGTTTTGTATTTTCGGCGTTTCTTGTTAAAACCTAGTTGTTTTGTCATGGACAAGGACAGTTTTTCAAAAAAAAAAAAAAAAAATCTGAGGTGAAGTGGACAATGCATATGACGCTGTTAGGAGGAAGTCCACCCCAACCTTTTCTCGTTATTTTCACGGCTTTCGTCCACCGATTTCGCACCTTCGGATCGATTCGAAACGTGTAAATACTTACACTATAACTATACGCATTACTGCAACCGCCCACAACACAACGTTTAACCATCATAAAAGTTTGTTGTGAAAACAACTTCTTAAAATTCGCTCTCTCAAAAATAAAATAAAATAGACAAAAGAAACGCCGATTAAAAAATGTATATCGTTTAAAAGTACAGTTGTACGTTGAATGACACAGTGATATAAAAGTACGGCCCAGGGGTATGGCTTCCTCTCATATTTTTGTATTTGGTGGCGCACTTTCGACGAGAGTCGGAAATCCGGAAACAGTCGACCGTTTCAGGATAGGTGGGCGTGGCTACAGCACGGGAAATATCTCAAATTTACTTGGATACAAGTAATCATTTTCAGCAAAAAAATCAATAATTGCCCATTTCAGTGGGGCACAGATCTAAAATGGAAGCGTGTGGGTGGGCATTGCACAGGCACTTTAAGCAAACTGACTTGCACATACACATGCATGTAGCTGGCTTGTAAGATACAATGATATTAGAATGTCTGCAGATTGTTATCACATTTTATACTTGCTTGTACAATGCACATGTATCAGAAACAAGCTGGCAACGTTTGTCAGTCACAATGCAAAAGCAGCCAGCAATTCAGCCAAGTTTTTTCAGTATACACATACAAGTTTTTCGATCGTTTTA